AGTTCTTGAAGAACGTATTGAAACCACCAGATTGGGGTCTGATTGAAGCTTGAGAAGTGGTTTGCCATAGTGAGAGCTTGCGGTTGATGCTAGCATTGGATTGCTTCTCTAGTCTTCGGGAAATCCTGAGTCCAATTAACCGAACAAACACCAAATTCCCGCTCTACCAGTGAGTGTTTGGACGCACCTTGGTCGCTGACACTACAACGAGTTCTAGCAATACAAAGGACAACTCTCCCTCCTGGCTCTTACATGCGAATGCTACGTGTGGCATGGTGATTCTTTGACTGTGAGCGGAGAGAGAGTCACGTGTGAGATTTGCAATAGTTATTGTCTACTGTGCTCAACATTAAAACTAATTAATTTAATTTTAAATATAAAACTCTCTTTCATTTTGTCTTATAAATTCGTAACTTATTTTTTAAAATATTTTCATTAATTACCTGTCAAAAAATTTTCACTCAAGAATAGTTATAATTAAAAAGATATTTTAAAAAATTATCTCATATTTATTACAAATAACTAATTTAAATATTTTTTTAATATATTTAAATTAGTTAAGTAGCTTTTAAATTAAGATCGGGTGGTAATATTTTTTTTAATTTTTCTCATTGCTCTGCAGATTTAGCTTTCATAGCACCCATTCAAGTGACAGGATTCTCAGAGTAGCAAATATACCAGACAAAATACCCACTATTACTATAAAAAGCAACAATCAAGTATCATATAGAATAAAAACTTTCATATTTGAAAAATAATATATCTATTTAAGCCTAATAACATATCTATATGTCAGTTTTGAGAGTGAGAGACCCAGCACAATGGACAATAATGAATCTTCTTTGAATGATTTTTGCGACTTTTCAAAGTAACACAACTAGTAGACAGGTGACGGGTCTGAGATGAGAAAAGAAAGAGCATGTGAGAGAGATTTCATTGTGAAAAAGGGAATAATAGGATGAAAGCTTCTCCTAATTTTCAGTCCTCTTTTGTTCAATTTAGGAGCAACACTTAACAGGGACATTTGCTTTTTCTTTTTGTCCAATTAATTTCATTTTCCCCCTCAGTCCTATAATGAAGTTTCAGATTGTTTGGGGAGCTGTTTGAAATAAATTTGCTGCAATGGTCCTTGATTGAAAATTTTCCCTTGTTTCAATCTGATGACAATTTTTTCAAAGCTCTTAAATATTGCCCGGGTATTCTTCTTGATATTAACACCCATGCCGTGCCTAATATGAAGTTACTAAAAGAAGTTGGAGTTCGTGAATCAAATGCCATCAAATTGTTATAACTGTTTCCCATGGCACTGGCTAAAAATCCCGGTCGATTAAAATGAATGTGGAGGAAAGTAAGGAAATGTGGTTTGATACTTCGAAGTTTCAGTTTATTATGGCCCTTTGGGCATTGTCATCAGTGGGCAAATCTACATGGGAAAAGAAAGCTAATGCTTATAAGAAGGAGGGCTGGTCTGATGATGACATTCTTTTCGCATTTAGAAGGCATCGCTTCTGCATGAAGGTATCAGAAGATAAGATTGACGCAGTGATGGAGTTTTTGGTCAACAAATTGGGATGTGAATCTTCCACTGTTACCAGATATCCACAAATTTTTTTCATTGAGTTTAAATAGGCAGTTTATTCCGAGGGATGCAGTGGTTGAGGCTCTGCTGTCAAAGGGTCTGTTGAAAAAGAAAACCTTGCCTGTTACATTTACCTGCACTGATATTGTCCTTTCGAAGAGGCTTATCATGTGCCAAAAGGAAGCTTGTGCACTATTGAAGCCCTATCAGGGTAAATTGGAGCTTGCAAGGTGAAGTGGGAATGGGGAATCTTTAAGGATCTCAAAGAATGATTACATATTCCAATAAAAGTAGTCAACATATGCCAAAGGAATGGAGCCACTTTCAAAAACTAGATGTAAACTCTCTGTTGTTGGGTCAGCTGGTAAAGTTCAACTTTATAGCATCGTTCATTGAAGTACACAAGAATCACGACCAAAAAAGTTAATACTACCTCCAGTCCTAATTATAAGAGTCAGTTGAATGGTTTGAGGAGATTGAAGAAGTAAGTTGAATTAGTTACTTGTCCTAAATCGGTGTTGTCTTTCCTAAAATATCCTTACTAATCAAGTGTATTGACTAGAACTATCATTGTTAGAAAGGCTACTTTGAAAAATATATATATAAATATGAGAGATAAAGTGGATTGGGATCTTATATTTAGGATCAAAATAAAAATCAAATAGGGTCTTATATAAGGATCGGAGACAGTATGTTTGTTTGTTCATGGCTGGTAATGTTTGGGGAATGGTTTGAAAGTAGTCTAGTGTTAATGTAATACCTCACATTCTTGTTTCATTAAAAAGCAAGGAGGATGGGGGGTGTCATTGTGGTGTAAGTGTAAAAACTAGATAATCAATTTATAGATATTAAAAAATTAGTTAAGTTGATTAAAAAATTTGTATTGATTTTCTTAAAATTCCTCTTCTAATCATTCGCTGTGAAAATTATTTTTATTGATAGAAACTCTATTTATATGCATAAGGGATAGTTTAGGAGGAAAAAAGACTACTGTTAATTCTAAATATAAGATCTAATTTGTAATGTTATTTATATTACAAACTAGATACCGAAGGCAATATAAATTTGAAAAGCAATTTGAATTAATGATTGATAAATTGCCCAATTTTATTCCTTATTTCTTTCACCAGCATCATTTGTTAATTCTACTTGACAAGTGACAATTTTGTTAAATATGATTTGTTGTCAGAAAACAATTTCTGTTGTAAACTTGAAATGTTTTTTTTAAAAATAAAAAATGGATCAAAATAGAGTTTCAAAACCATTGTTATTGATTCTGTTAAGATAATTATGAATTGTTTTGGTGGAATTAAGGCAATATTTGGTAGGAGGGACGGGGAGTTCAGGAAGACAGGAACGAGGTAAGGAAAACAACAAAGCAGACAAAAGTAGCTTAGCTGTATGAAATTATTAGTCAGGGTCCGTTTGTATTAGCGATTAGAAAAGTAGCTTATTGAAAAAGTAATTTATGGAAAAGTGAAGTTGGTAAAAGCTAAATTGGATAAGCTGAATTGTGTTTGGATTGGAGTTCAGAAAAACTAATTTGTAAAAGTGAGATTGGTAAAGAGTTGTTTGGATTATAGTTGAGTAAAAGTAAGTTTAGTTGTAAAATAACTAAAATGGGTATGAGTTTTAATAAATAATGAAACATAATTAAAAAAATGATTTCACATAATACAATGAAATTAAAATGATTTAATATGAAGAAGTGAAATTTATTGAGTGGATTATGATTGAATAAAAATAAGTTTGTTTGTAAAATTACCAAAATAGGTATGAGTTTTAATAAATAATAAAATACGATTAAAAAAATAAATTAACATAATACAATGAGTTTAAATTAATTTAATATGAAGAAGTGAAATTTAATGAGTAAAGTAAATTTTAAAATATTAGAGGAATCATAAAAAATTATTGTAAATATAAAGTGAAACATGCATAATTAACATTTATAAATAAATCTTACAAATAAAAATTAACAAAATTATGATAAGAGCCAATTAAGTTAAAATTAACTCAAGTCTTAAATTAGAAATAAAAATACCAACGAGTCTCAAATTACAATTCAAGATTTTGGCAAAAAAAAAAAAAGATTCAAGACAAGAAAATGAAAGATACCAGGACGAAGGAAATGACAAGAATAGCAAAAGCCTCATACTGACAACCTTTTCCTGACATGGTCCATAAGCTTCTTATTCAAAAAAGCTCCCCCTCCTCAACTTAAATTTAATCGTGCGTTTTCACTCTTTTCAACCCTCAAGCTCGGTGGCTCACAAGTAATGCCAAACAGAGACAAATTTTTGAATCGGGCTTATCTTCAAAATAAGCTGCTTATGGCCCATCATACGCTCTCCCAAACAGGCACTCAAACACCACACCCTCAATGGCAAAAACCACAGTCGCTCATTCAAAAAAATAAAAAATATGTGATCATCAAAATGATTCGTGTATTCATTTATAAAACCAGTGCTTTTATATAAATAGTTCATAGTTAGATTTGATTTTAAATATAATATTTTAATTTATTTTGTTTCTTATTTTTTATAAAAAATCTCTTTATTGATTGTCAGATTCAGATTCCCATAAAAAAAATAATTCTAATCATTTAATGCACGTGATTGAAGAGAATAATTTAGGAAAACTAATATATATTTTTGATAAATAACTAACTTAACTAACAAATTTTAACATTTCTAAATTAATTATCTAGTTTTTATATTAAAAATATGAAGTAGTATTATATCCCTTGGTGTGTTTACATTCATAAAGTCTATTTCTTCAATAAAAAATAAAAATGCTTAAAATAAAATTGAAAATTGTTATATGCTTCAACCATTATAATTATTATTTAATTTAAATAAAATAAAAGGATTTTTTTATTTCTTTCAACATATTACCTCCTGTCCTTAATATAAGACCTTATTTGATTTTTTTTAATTCTAAATATAAGATCCCAAACTACTTTGTCTCTAATAGTTATGTGTGTGTGTATATATATATATTTTTTTTAAGGTAATCTTTTTATATTTTAAGAAATACAATACTCCTCCGGTCCTTATTATAAGACCCAATTTGACTTTTTATTTGGTCCTAATTATAAGACCCAATCCATTTTCTCTCTTATATTTATGCATTTTTTCCGAGATAATCCTTCTAATAATGATAGTTTTAGCCAATATATTTAATTAGTAAGGATATTTAAGGAATGACAACACTTATTTATTATAAATAACCAACTTAACTTACTTCCTTAATCTCCTTAAATAAGTCAATTGGGTCTTATAATTAGGACCGGAGGAGTACTACTCAATTTTTTTTTTTTTTGGCCACCGTTGAAGCGCCCCTCCTTCGGCTCATGTTCTTGTAGTTTAATTTTAAAAAATGAGTCCATTGCCGTGGCAGGGAACTTACCCAGCTCCCACGCAAAGCAAAGATTATCTTCATCAACCGGAGGGTTCCTCCCCTCTTCTATTCTCCTGTGCTTTAGCTTTCTGCAATCAATGTTTTGTTTTCTCCGCAAAACAATCCCTTTCCGAAGGCTTATTGTTTTCGGCACAATTTCTCCGGAGACTATACTTCCGGAATTGCTTTGTTTTCAACGCCAATGGTTATCTGCGAGGTACTGTAATTCAGTCGCATCAAATAGGCATTCTTTCACTGTCTCGTATCTCATTGACACATGTGGCTTCTCACCACAAGAAGCTGCTTCAGTTTCTAAGCTCGTCAGCTTCGAATCGCGAGATAAGCCAGATTTGGTTATCAATTTCTTCAAGAGTCAAGGACTCACTAAACCCCAGATTCATCGTTTTGTTAGAGAGCTCCCAAGACTTCTTCGATCAGATCCTCAGAAAACCTTAGTGCCCAAGATTGAGTTTCTTGTATCCAATGGCGTTTCGATCTCAGACATCCCTAAGCTCCTATGTAGTTGCCCTAGCATCATGGTGAGAAGCTTAAGTAAGCAGATCATTCCTTCCTTTCATTTCTTTCGAGATTTGTTTCAATCTGACGCCAAACTCATTCAAGTTGTCACAAATTTCTCGGGTATTCTTCTTGATTTAAACAGCCGTTCCATGCCTAATATGAAGTTGTTAAGAGAAGCAGGAGTTCCTGAATCAAATGTCATAAAACTGTTACAATATTTTCCTTCGGTAATAACCAAAAGTTGTGTTCGATTTGAGGAGATTGTGAAGGAAGTGAAGGAACTGGGTGTTAATCCTGGGCAGGTAAACTTTGTTTTGGCCGTTTCTGTATTGGCATCAGCAAGCAAATCCACTTGGGGAAAAAAAGTTGATGTTTATAAGAAGTGGGGTTGGTCGGAGGATGACATTCTTGCAGCATTTAGGAAGTATCCATTCATCATGAAGGCATCAAAAGATAAGATCGATGCAGTGATGGATTTTTTGGTCAACAAATTAGGATGTGAATCTTCCATCGTTGCTAAATATCCAGGGGTTATCTCGTTCAGTATGAAGCGGAGATTTTTGCCAAGAGGTGCTGTGATTAAGATTTTATTGTCTAAGGGTCTCGTGCAAAAGGAGAGCTTGCCACTGCTATTTATGTACCCTGAAAGCACGTTTCTGAGAAGGTTTATCATGAGTAACCTGAAGGAGGAAGCTACTCAATTATTGAAGCTGTATCAGGGCAAATTGAAGCTGGCAAGGTGAATGAAGAATGGGAAAAGCTTACAGGTATGGGAATGGACTGAGATGATACAGAGGTTTAGTCTCTTCTCACCAAATTTCTTTGGTGCATAACATTATCATTTTCTTCAATATAGACTAGGACCTCTACCTTGTTTTGGACTAGACCAATCCAATTAATGAATCTTTTTCTGGGCTCTCAAATTGAAGATTACAAAATGAATGAATAATAGAAAAGCTTAGAGGTATGGGAATGAACTGCGATGATACAGTGGTTTAGTCTTTTCTCACCAAATTTCTTTGGTGCAGAACATTATCCTGTTCTTCAATATAGATTAGAAACTCTTTCTTGTTTGCTTTCATTTACTTTGGACGTGACCAATCCAATTAGTGAAGCTTTTTTCTGGGCACTCAAATTTCTCCTTGAGTTGACCTCGATCCTAAGTTGAACATTTTGTTATATACTATAGCTTGCTTTCAACATTTTGTCTATAGCGAAAGGCAGTTTTTGAAAAGATTTATCGTGACTCGTGAGGAAGAATGTAATGAACTCCTGAAGCGGTATTGCAAGGTGAATGAAGAATGAACGGTTATGGGTATGGGCTGAGATGGAGCAAGTCCCTTTTCACTAAACTTCTGTCTTTTTGCTGCACCACCTTTGTTAATTTCTCTCCTTGTTTTTGTTTACTTTAATTTACCTTGAATATGAGGAGTGGGATCTCTCAAGGGTTGTCTATAAACTAAAATTTCTCGGCCATTTGAATTTGGTCACGTCCTGAGTTTAACAAGGTCATCTGTGATGCTATGTAATATTCCTGTCATTTTTGCTTCTTAGAGGAAGATATTTTACATCAAAAGGGAAGGCCTTGGATTTTTCTTTCCTTTTTTTCCCCCCTCATGCGGTTTCTTCCATTCTCTCTTATGTTATGCTCTTTGAAACATTTCCTAGGTATATGCAAGCATTTGGCGTGGGCTCTTTGGAAGACAATTGGTCTTTTCAGTCACCCGCAACAATTTTTTCTTCCTCCTTTATTACTTAATCTTCCCCCATGGCAGAATTTCTTGTTATTGATATTGGGCGATGTGGGAATTTAAACAATAGTTACAATGGCAGCTCCCTGCTTATGAGTCTCATTCCAGGCACTGTATGAAACAAGGGCTTTAGTTAAGATTATCCCCATCAATTGGTGAGTTCTTTCTTCCTTTTTCATAGTGCTGTTTTGCTTTTCCCTTTATTTTTTATAGTGCATTACCTTATCAATTTCTATCTTGTTTTCTACCTTAATTTATCTTGGATATGAACGATCAAACTCGGTAGAGTTCTCTACACACTGAAATTTCTTCATCATTTCACTTAATCCTCAAGTTTCACCAGGTTGTGTTATGCAGTGGCTGTGTTTATAAAGAGATGTTTCCTAAAGGATTATCATTTTGGAACAAAGATTATGAATAAAATAGATTGAAGTGATTAGAGCTAAGCATGTATTGTCTCTGAATTCCTCAAAGGAGCAAAATAACAAACATAAAGACGGTGTCAAAGAGTAAAATTGATGCCGTAATGCAGTTTCTCGTCAATAAGCTGGTCTGTAAATCTTCCACTATCACTAAATATCCATGATTTTTGCTACTGAGCTTGAATAAGCAAATTGAAGTTGTACCAAGCTAACCTGAATCTTGCAAGCTGAATGAAGATTGAAAAGGCTAGTAATGCTTCAATTTGGCCCCGTAATGATATCGCATATTAGATAGTTGCATTAAAAGTATGTGTATGCATATGGATTGAGGTGAGGCAATTACTGAAGCCCCATCCCACTGATTGGTTTAGTTAGTGCATTATGCCATGAGTTTCTGTCTTGTTATTTTATTTAGTTTAGCTTGGAAGTAATCAAATGAAGGTCACCCGTGAAACTAATCATTCTATATACAGTTATTGTCTCTCAAATAAGAAACATGAACTACAATGGAATATTAAAGCTGAGCCTATTTAAGTATCTCTTATCCCTTGCAAGAATAAGTATGAAACAACTGAAGTCCAAAGATACCATACTAATGATCCTACTCTGTCTATTGTGTTTGTTTAGGCTTACGTACTTTATATTTTTGGGTTGGAAGCCCTTTAATTTGCTCTGTCTTTATGTTTACATAATCGTGAATATCGTAACATCATGCTTTGTCCTTGGAATGAGAAATTTACAATTATTTTCACATGGGGTTTCCTGATTTATCTGCTTTGTGTCTGGTTGTTATGCAATATATGCAGGTAAAATAAAGAATGATTACAATATTCGAGCATGGAGCCTCCTAAAAACTTTCCCCAGCTTACTATAAATTAGCTAACTCATAAGAACAATGTCGCAGAGCATCAAATGCAAACACTGATGGAAGGAATCAGACATCTCCCCATCAAGAATTGGAATGTCACTTCCGCTTTTGGAGGTTAACAAATGTGCTAATTGGATTGTGAGCTTAGCTCATGACATTGAGGATCAATATACTGTTTTTCTGATCCTGCCCTTACTATGTTGGACTGGAATAGAGATTATTTGAGTACGTAGTGTACTATGTTTGTTGTTTTGTTCTCTGTTTTTTTTTTTCCCATTCAAATTAAAGGGATTGTATTAATAGTAAAGTGTTATGAACGTGACCAAATGCAACCTCTCACTAATAAGAAAGCATTCATGCCACTAGAATATAAAGTCTTTGACTTCTTAATTTGCTCCCTGGCTAATCTTTGTCATGAAGTGTTCTTATTTAAAAACCAAGAAAAAATCGCCTGGCAAAAAGACAAAAAAAAAAAAGGCCAAGGACAATCTTTTAGAATTAACTTTTGCGCTATCCCAGCATTCACATATTTATATCTCAAAATGATGATATCATGTGTAAATACAAAAATTTGACTAGTAAATATTGATTTGTAAACGAGAGTGGAGGAAATAATTTTCTTACCCACGATATGTTTACAATTTTATCCCTTTTTTTTTTTGGGAAAAACCATTCTTGAGGTACTTATAATTTTCTTTAATTTTTAGTTTGGTACCTGTAAGTTTTTCTTTCTCTATATTAAATCCTTTAATTTTACTTTATTAGCACAATTAGTTTTGTAGGTGATCTGATAATATTAATAGAGCAAAGTTATAGAGATTTATAGTGTTAAAATAGTAAAATTAAAATATTTTAATAAGGGGAAAAACACATAGATATAAAATTAAGAATTAAAGAATTATGGGCATTTCAAGCATAGTTTTCCTTTATACTTTTTTTAATTTATACCTAAAAGTTATTTTTGTTTGAACAAGAAAGTAATATTTACAATAGGCTAAACTATACAGTTGGCCTTTTAATTTTATATAAGATTTTAATTTAATCCTTTAATTTTAAAAGTGATACATTTGTCATTTAACTAGAAAATTATTATGCTTAAATGATAATTTTTTATAATAACCGTAATCGTTTTGAAAATTAAACTTAATATATTAATATTTAATAATATTTTACTAACATTTATGATTTTAATAACAATATTGGATTAAAAGACTAAAATTATAATTTTTAAAGTTAAGACACCAAATTAAAAATTTTGAAAAAACAAAAGGAATCAAATTAAAACTTCAATTAAGGAGGTGTTTGGATTCTCAAAACTCAAAAAAGTATTTTCAAAAAATATTTTTTTACAAATTAAGATAAATTTCTTCACATATTTATTTCGTATATTGTAAAACTATCTTTCAAATCATAGTTTTGTTCCACCCAAATACTCAATAAGGGGGTGTTTGGCAACCCTTAAAAGTGTTTTTCTACAAAACGAGACAAACTCCTCCACATATTTAATTCTTAATTCTTAAAAATATTTTTAAAACTATAATTTAATTTCCACCTAAATAGCTTCTAAACGTATGCTTTACGCTTTTAATATTTTCAGAAAGGGGGAAGTAATCTCGGTGGCCTTCCACAAACACCGGTCTGCCTGCCCGCGGGCGCAGGGTTCGCTGTTAGCTTGCTCCGTCTTTTGCGAAACCATGTTTTGCTTTCTAAGGAAAATCATCCTTTTTCGGAGGCATATCATCAACACAATCTCTCCCTCAACATCTCAGCAATTACTTTGCTTTCAAAGCCAATGTCTACCTGCCACTGCCAGGTACTGTAATTCAATTTCATCCAGCGAGCATTCTTTCACAGTCTCATATCTCATTGACACATGTGGCTTCTCACCCAAAGAAGCTGCTGGAGTTTCCAAGTATCTCAGCTTGGAAACGCGAGAAAAACCAGATACGGTTATCAATTTCTTGAAGAATCTCGGATTCTCAAAATCCCAGATTCTTCGTGTCACAAGACGAGTCCCCCAATGTCTTCGATCTCACCCTGAGAAAACCATACTCCCCAAGATCGAGTTTTTCATATCCAGAGGCGTTTCGAGTTCAGACATCCCTAAGCTCTTATGTAGTTGTCCTAACATTATGAAAAGAAGCTTAAATAAGCAGCTCATTCCTTCCTTTGATTTCTTTCGAGATTTGTTTCAATCTGATGACAAGCTCATTAAAGCTCTTAAATCTTGCTCGGGCATTCTTATTGATATTAACACCCTTGCCGTGCCTAATATGAAGCTATTAAGAGAAGTCGGAGTTCCTGAATCAAACATAATCAAATTGTTGCAAATCTATCCTAAGACAGTGACTACAAGTACTGAAAAATTCAATATCATAGTGGAGCGAGTTCAGGAAATGGGGTTTGATCCTTTAAAGTTTCAATTTTGTATCGCCGTTTACGTATTGTCGTCGCTAAGCAAATCTACATGGTCAAAAAAGGCTAAGGTTTACAAGAAGTGGGGCTGGTCAGACAACGACATTCATGCTGCTTTCAGAAGTTTCCCATTTTGTATGAAGGCATCTGAGGATAAAATTGATGCAATAATGACGATTCTTGTTCAGAAATTGGGCTGTCCGCCTTCCACTATTCCCACTTATGCAGTAGTTCTGTCACTTAGTTTGAATAGACGAATTGTTCCACGGGCTTCTGTCATTCAAGTTTTGTTGTCAAAAGGTCTGGTGAAAAAGGAAAGATTGCTCTCAATATTTCTCTATACTGAAAGGGTGTTTTTGAGAAGATTGGTCATCAGTCATGAGGAAGAATGCAGTGAACTCCTGAAGCTTTATCAGGCTGAACTTGATCTTGCAAGGTGAATGAGGAATGAAAAGGTTATGGGTATGGACTGAGATGGAGCAAGTCGCTTGTAACTAAATTTATGTCTTCTGCTGCATGACCTTTGTTAATTTCTCTCTCGTTGTTTTTGTTTACTTTAATTTAACTTGAAAATGAAGAATCAAATCTCTCAAGGGTTGTAGATAAACTGAAATTTCTCTACCATTTGAATCCTAAGCCCTGGTTTTAACAAGGTCACCTGTGATGCTATGTAATATTCCTGTCATTTTTGTTTCTTAGAGGGAGATACTTTGTAGCAGAAGGGAAAGTCTTGGATTTTTCTTTCCATTATTTTTCTCATGCGACTTCTTCCATTCTTTTTCCCCCCCAGTGTTGTGCTCTTTGGAACACTTCCTTGGTATATGCAAGGATTTGGGTTGGGCTCTTTGGAAAACAATTGGTCTTTCAGTTACCCACAAAAATTGTTTTTCTTCCTCTTTTATTGCTATCAATCTTACCCCGTGGGAGAATTTCTTGTTATTGGTATACAGTAATTGGGGAATTCAAGCAATAGTTACAATAGCAGTTCTGCACTTGTGAGTCTCGTTCCAGGTACTGTGTGAAACAAGGGTTTTAAGTAAGATTATCTCCATCAATTGGTGATTTTCTGTCAATACTGGTCGATTCAAGATGATTGTGAAGGAGATTCAGGAAATGGGGTTTGATCCTTTAAAGTATCAATTTATTACGGCCGTTTAGGCATTGTCGTCATTAAGCAAATCAAGATAGTCACAAAAGGCTAATGTTTACAAGAAGTAGGGCTGCTCTGACTATGACATTGCTGCTGCTTTTAGAGTGTCCGTTTTGTATTAAGATGTCTGAGGATAGAATTAAGGGTTAAATAGCATTTTTGCTCCGGAAGTTTTCAAAAAGGAGCTGTATGTATCTGGGAGTTGTTCTTAGTGCAATTTTGTCCCAAAAGTAATAAAAATATAGCAGTTTTACCCTGTCCTAATTATCACTCAAGAAAATAATTTATCAAAAAAGTACCGCTAATAAATTTTTTTACATTTTATGTTGATATATTATCTTACCGTTTTTTATGTCTTTTATTAACCAAAATATTAAAGATATTTCTGGTTTGATTTGGTTTGTTCTTCTTGTTTTTTTTTTTTGGGGTTAAATGTTCATGGATGTTGATGATGATGAAGAGGAAAAGCTTATGTTTTTTTGTCTACATATTCGGTAATTGTTGATTTGGTTTTATGATTATTTTTGTTGATTGTTCATGTTTTTATGAATAACGATGGTGATGATAAAAGGGGAAAGAGTTTTTTTTTTTTAGTCTGATGATGATGTGGCGTCTTATGATAAGATAATATATCACCATAAAATGTAAGGAAATTTATAAACAACACTTTTTTAATAAATTATTTACTTGAGTGATCATTTCAAAGCTCCATATAATAACATGTAAAATAAATATACGTTTAGTTTTTATATAAAAAAAATAAAATTGAGAAGGGTTACATCAATGATAAAAAAATTAATAAAAATATAGATGAATACCTTTTATCTTTAATATAAGAATTAGTTGACAGTTAGATTTAATCCTAAATATAAGATTTTAATCCACTTTGTTTTTTATATTTATCATTTTTTCTCAAGCCAATTTACATAACCTATAAATTGATATATTATATAAGAGTCAACTCACAATCTTGGATAGGGTAAAATTGCTATGTTTTTATTACTTTCAGGGTATGCCAAAAAAAATTTAGATATCTACAACTCCTTTTTTAAAACTTTCAGGACAGAAATACTTTTTAACTCGGTTAACATTGGTTGACCATTTGGATCTGTTAGAACAGGGTTTAAACAGCTTCTTTTGTCATGAGCTAGAAGCCAATGAATTATTGGAGTTGTATTGGTCTAAACTGGATCTTGTGGGGAAAGTGGAGACCGGACAGGTTTTAGGTTATGGATATGAACTAATGATGTAGCACTTGTAGAACTCTCTTCTCTCTACAGCCCTTTAACGCATTACATTATTGACATTCAGTCATGTTGTTTGCTCTAATTTGGCTTGGAAAGGACCTACCAATCAAAACTAATATCATGCTGTGGGTGAAAGTTTAGCTTTCTAAATCAATCTTGATAGTTATACAGTTTACAAAAACAGATGTTGTACATAGCCCGGAGACAATTATACAGGGGTTCATTATCCTTTTTTCGAAGAACTAAATTAGTTGAACTTCAGTCCTTAATATAAGACTTGGTTTAACTTTTATTTTGGTCCTAAATATAAGATCTCAATCTATTTTGTCTCCCATATTTATATACTCCTCCGGTCCTAATTATAAGACCCAATTGACTTATTTGAGGAGATTAAGGAAGTAAGTTAAGTTGGTTATTTATAATAAATAAGTGTTGTTATTCCTAAAATATCCTTGCTAATTAAGTATATTGGCTAAAACTATCATTATTAGAAGGATTATTTTGAAAAAAAATACATAAATATAAGAGAGAAAATGGATTGGGTCTTATAATTAGGACCAAATAAAAAGTCAAATTGGGTCTTATAATAAGGACCGGAGGAGTATATATTTTTTCTGAGATAGTTCTCCTAATAATGTTAGTTCTAACCAATACACTTGATTAGTAAAGATATTTTAAGAAAAATAAAATCTATTTATTACAAATAATTAACTTAATTTATTTCTTTAATTTTTTCAAATTAGTCAACTAACTTTTATAATTAGGATCGGAGATAGTACATAAAAATATCTCCTTCTAAGCTTACTGTGGATGTATCGGCTTGTAACAACAGATCAGTGGTTTTGACGTTAAGCTCATAGGCGGTTCAATCGAATATAAGTGATTCACCACCTATAATGTTGCAGTTCCACTCTCTTCATTTGAAACTGCTTAATGAAGTGATATGGGCTATTTTGATTTAATCTGGATAATCTGATTTATTAGTTTCTTCTTTTACTTATTTTGATATATACACACACACACACACACATATATATATATAATTTTTAAATGAAGCAACACATGAAATCAGAACAGTCTATACTCGAGAGGATCCAAGTTTCTATAATTCTATCTCAAGTGATATTACTTCCGGTCCTAATTATAAAAACTAGTTGACTAATTTGAGAAGATTAAGAAAAGAAGTTAAGTTAATTATTTGTAATAAATATATGTTGTCTTTTTTAAAATATTATTGCTAATCAAATGTATTGGTTAGAGTTACCATTGTTAGAAGGATTACTTTGAAAAAAAATACTCCTCCAGTTCTTAATATAAGACCCATTTAACTCATTTGATTAGATTAAAGAAATTAGTTAAGTTAGTTAATTTTAAGAAAAGTGACACATTTTTCCTAAAACACCATAATCATCTTTCTTAATACCCATCTCCCTCTTCTACTTGATTATGGTTGAGAGAGTATCCATAGGGATAATTTAGAGAAAATTGATAAATATGATAAATGGGTCTTATATTAGGACCAAAATCAACTTAAGAATTGGGTCATATATTAAGGACCGGAGGAGTACATAAATATGAGAGATAAAGTGGATTAGGATCTTATATTTAGAATCAAAATAAAAATCAAACAAAATTTTATATTAAGGACTAGAGCTAGTACATGTAAATTTAAATTATTAAAGGCTACTATACATCTCAATATTACTGTTATGAAAGTAAAGGAACATGGGTTTGGTCCTTCGAATTTTCGATTTGCTATGGCTGTTAATGTATGCTCGTTGTTTTGCAAATCCAAATGGGCAAATAAGGCTGAATTTTATAAAAAGTGGGGTTGGTCTGACCTAATAATGACATTCTTGCGGCAGTTAGAAGACTCCCCTTCCAGTATGATGCTGTCAGTGCATCCAGATGACAAACTGGGATGTCCACCTTCCACTATTAAAATTATTCCCTCCCCTTCTTATAATTTTTTAAATAGATTTATTTTTTATATAAAATTATTTTTGAATTTGTCTAAATATTTAATATATTATTTCTTATTTTATCCCTAGTTTACTGTATTTAATATATTCGCTTTCTTTATTTATCTGACTATTACTCTCCCACATCTCCTCATTTATATATAGGGGTATATTTGGAAAAAAATTATATTTGCTACATATTAATTGTTTTAAACTAATTTTAACTGTTTTATTAAATTGTGTAATTTAATTAAAAGGATCTTATAATAAGGGACGTAGTAGTACATGATTTAAAAAAATAACTAAAATTAGTTAAAAGTAATAAATATATATGAAATAAAATTTTTCCCTACGTATGCCCTTATGAAATGACCAAGTCAATTCATAAAACTAATTAGAAACAATAGTAAAAACATATTAAATGTCCAAACAACTTTACTTACGATCTTATTAAAATGACCAAGTCAATTTAAATTTCACGTTACTATAAAAAGAACAAAAAGGAGTAAATAATACTCCTAGACTGGGTAGGATACCTAATGTTCAGCCTATATCCCATCCTGTTTTTTTTTTGCCAAAGTATAGCTATCTTCTTATTGGAGGTAATCCTATTCGAGATACTGTCGGGTACTAAATGTGGACACCTCTCCTAACAGGAATTCAAACCTTGATTCGTCACGTTGTAAAAGATTAGCTCTTTCCGCTAAACCCAACCCCTATTGGTTGTCCCACTCTGATCACAACACCATCTTCTTGTGTTAATAAGCCCTGTACTAAAATATGGTTTTATCTTTTTAATAAACTGGTTCAGTAAACATGCATTGCATGAGTGCAAATAGATGTTTGTTTATGTATTAGACGTTTATTTATGGTATATACATACAACATGAACCAATTTAAAATTGGATTAAATTAAATTAAAAAAAAACACATAAATAGGGGATCATGCATAGAAACATGGCTTTCACAAAAATAAAAAATAAAGATAATTTATCTGCATAATGTGCTGCCACGTGGCAGACTGTTATTATGTCTTGCTTTTGTAATGCAGTAATAATATATTTAGATAATATTACTAAACAAGCCCTTACACATAGGATTAGAAGCAGTAGATGGATAATGGACTTTCTTTAAAAAAAAAAAAAGGGTAAAATGTAAAACCAGAAAATGCATTTAATATAGGCGATGCTGCGCAGAAGGGTTTTACGCTTCGTTCTCTAGTCTTCGAAACGAACGGAGTCCATGTTGCCTTCTCTCCGCAAAGCTATCGGTATCAGCGCAGTCTCTCCTTCAACATTGCAACATCTGATTTGTGTTCAAACCCAGTGGTTTTCATCAAGGTATGCTTATTCAACCTCTTCCAATGGGCATTCTTTCACCGTCTCATATCTCATTGACACCTGTGGCTTGTCACCCAAACAAGCTGCTTCAGCTTCTAAGCGTGTCAGCTTCGAAACGCCGGATAAGCCTGATTTGGTTATCAATTTCCTTAAAAGTCATGGATTCTCTCAGCCCCAGATTGTTCGTTTCATTGCTGAGATCCCATCGTTTCTCCGATATGATCCTGAGAAAACCTTTCTGCCCAAAATTGAATTTTTCAAATCCAGAGGCGTTTCGAGCTCAGACATCCCTAGGCTCATATGTAGTTGTCCTAGAATCATGTCAAGAAGCTTAAGGAAGCAGCTCATTCCTTCCTTTGACTTCTTTCGAGATGTGTCTCAATCTGACGAGAAGCTTATTAAAACTCTTCAATATTGCTCGGGCATTCTTCTTAACGCCAACACAATTGCCCGGCCTAATATGGAGCTATTGCGAGAAGCAGGAGTTCCTGAATCAAATGTCATCAAATTGTTGCAAGTGTATCCTAGGACATTAACTGCAAGCCCTAATGTGTTTAAGGACATTGTAGAAGAAGTGAAGAATATAGGGATCAATCCTTTGAAGTATCAATTTCTTATGGCTATTCATGTATTCTTCTGTCTAAACAAATCCTCATTGGCAAAGAGAGCTGATGTTTATAAAAAGTGGGGTTGGTCTGACCATGACACTCTTGTGGCATTTAGAAAGTTCCCTTTCTGTATGGCAGCAGCAGAGGATAAGATCGATGCAATAATGGAGTTTCTTGTCCATAAATTGGGCTGTGAGTCTTCTACTACTAGCAAATATCCTACAGTTTTTACATTGAGCTTGAAAAGGCGAATAGTTCCGAGAGGTGCTGTCATTCAAGCTCTGTTGTCAAGGGGTCTAATGAAAAAGAAAACATTGTTTGCAACATTTGTATATAGTGAAAGTTATTTTCTGAGGAGGTTTCTCCTTTGTCAGGGGCAGGAAGCAACTCAATTATTAGAGTTGTATCAGTCTAAACTGGATCTTGCAAGGAAAATGAAGAATGGAAAGGTTTGAAGGTAAGAATATGGACTAAGATGTAGCAATTGTAGACCTGTTTTCTCTTCATTTGTATTGGTACGACGCATTATTAATGTTTATGTGGTTTGCTTTAATTTAGGTTGGGAATGACATATCTAGCATGCAAAGAGCTTCATATTACACTAGGATCTCTCCATTTGAATTTAGCCCCAAGTTTTAAAGCTTATCTGAGAAGGCGTTTTGGAGTAAGAATCATGTATAGAGACATTGTTTTACCTTTCGTTGGATTATAGAACCCTTCATCAGTAGGCTTTCGTGGGCCATATTTTCCATTTGACCTTCTTCGTCACTAGTGCTGCATTAAAACCATCCTTTTCCAAATCAGAATTCTGGTTTATGATTAGTAAACTATGTGACGAGGTTTTAAAAATACTCTTGCTTTGTTAGTTGGTTAATGTTTTGAACCTGTTAATTCCTCCAATTCTAGTTTACTGATCCACTTGATTCTACGTGTTCAGTTTTGCTGTTAACTCATAAACTAACTTCATTTGGCCTTTGGGAGAAAGGGATGAGTAACGAAGATAATCCAACACTTCATCTGACAAAATAATCAAACCGCCTTTGTTCATATGGGTTTTGTTTGGTTACATGATATACCTTATTATTTTCAGTATTGAAGGATTTTATTTTACTTGATTCAATTTGATTTGACTAGGTTTGAATATGCTACTTGATTCACCCTGTCTGCACATGTTAGTGTTTTTATCTGGTTCAGAATGTATTTTTTCTTAATAAACATTAAGGTGAAGTAGTGATATTCATATTATTTTGGTACAAATGGCTTTGGCCATTCATGTCTCAATTTTGTGATTTTCTTTCAAATGGGATATGTATAATATATTAGCTAGAAAATTTAGCGCGCTTCTGGTTCAATATTGACAACTAAAATTGTAGTTTTAGCATTGATTTGAGGATTTTCTTTTACACTTGTTGGTGCTTGCTAAGTTCTTGATTCAACACTTTATTATTCAACTTAATTGGATTGATATTTGTGGGTTTCCCACCCAATTTAACAAATAAGTCCTAAGCGTAATTTTATATCTTATATTAATATATTTTATCCATACTGATACCAACTTATACTTTTTAAGCTATTTTTCTTGATACCTTCCTGGGCGTGACAACCTGAACATCTTATAGCATTCCATTAGGCCCTTTGAAATGGAAACATTTCAATTTTTGGACAGCCTGTCTCTTTCCTAACCAGTCAGCATAGAGAACTGGATTTAGGGCATTATGTTGGGAGAAATGTACCATGCATATTTCTTTTCTTATTATTATAACATCTCTTCTTTTTGATGCAAAAAAATTTAAGTGAGTTGAGTCTGGAGACTAACCTAAGCTAGTGAAACATCTCTTCTTCTTCTTCTTTCCATTCTTTTTTAATTTGCTTTGGCTCTACCAGGAATTAAGTTCAAGACCCCAACAGAGTCACAGAGGAGCTCCATTGTTCCAGAAAGTGGGAGTATTTTGCCAATTCAAAAACATTCCCAAAACAATGAGGCTGTGGTAAACATTGTTAAGGTAAGTGCAAATTCCATCATCCTAATCATATAGCCGATGTTTGCATCACATAGGAATCACTCCTATGGTACGGAGCTGATATAATGTGCATGCCATTATACCAAATGGTAATTATCGGAGGGCTGGTGGAAGAAGGACATATACGTCTACAAATCATGCTTCAGAGTAATCGACATCTTGTAGAGGTTTTTGAGTTAGGATTCGAGCTGAGTTGGGTTTTGCAGAGCTTTCGGTCAGAAAAGCTTGCATAGGATGGCAGTAAACAATAAAAGAGCCTATGTAATCAAGAAGCTTATCTTCAAGTTTAACGTGTGTATAAAACATATGCAAATATAGCCTACAGATGGAATGATAAAAGGAACAAAGTAGAAGCTCCATTTCACAACTCTATTATACAAAGCACTCTAAGTTTATAAAGTTTATTTATTTATGGGAAGAGGAACAGATCGTTATTTCATTGGCCTCCTAATTTTTCTGTTGATAATGTAAAACAGGAACAATGAGAAAATAATAATCTATTCATTTATTATGTATTATTTATCAATGTTAATTATTTTGAATTAAAAAGATACATTTTACTTTTTAAATTTGAATTGTTTTTGGAGCCTTCTTCTATCCTTATTTATTTATGTTAATTTTTTTTTGGGCAGAACATGTGAAATAGAGATAATAATAAGATAATCAAAATGGATGGGAGAACGTTGTATGCTAAGAATATGCTTATTTTGCAGCTTAGTGAGGTTATTCACATTGTATGCGATGTACTCCCTTTTGTTGTAGTCTCGATATTTCAACATTTACACTAAAAACCAAAGAATATCTAAATCATTTGCTACATAAAAGTAAATCAACATCAAAATATTAGGTTTCATGGGATTTTCATTAATGAGAGTTAATTATGACTGATGTAAAATAAAGAGTAAACTTTGACATATGAATGGTAAGATAGAGATGAAAGCAGCATTGTCGAAGAAGTGATGGGGAGTTGAAGTCTAAACCATAAATAATTGTAGACTAAGACGGAAAAAATGAAGATTTGATGAAGCATCGACAAAAGAAATCTACTCAGAATCAACGCTAAACATTATGCACAATTATGCCTTGCTTTATTCACAAATTTCAACTAGAAAGAATGAAGAAAATTGGTAACTGGAAAATTATTTGGGTAGTGGAATCAATTTATTTTTCTTGAATTACTTTGGGTTACAAGTTACTGGAAAAGTTTTGTCATTTTTCTTGTACTGTATCTCCTTGGCTTCTTCATCATGGGTATAAATCTAAAATATAAGAATGAAATTAAAATGAGAAGAGATATCAAATCATGAAGAAAAATCATAATAAAAATAGAGAAAATACGAATACCAAAAACTTCACAATGCCCGCAGATGCCCTAGGGTGAGTTTGGGATCATAGTGAAGGCTACCAAACTGACTTCTCCACCAATAAAAGCTGAAAAAAAAAAACAACTTTTTGTTTAAAATATGTTTGGATTTACTGTGGAGGTAAATGGGCTCAGGAAATGTTTAGATAAAATAAAAATTATTTTAAAAGTATTTTTATGATATACAAAGTAAATATGTAAAGAAAATTATATCGATTTGTGAAAAAATATTTTTGAAGTTTTCCAAACACTCCCTTGTACCGGAACGATCTCTTTTCCAAAAGCTCCTATTCTCAACTCCTTCGCTGCTGCAGGTCAAAAAAAGCTCCACTGCACGTTTTGATAGGTGGGGCAAGGGAGGAGAGGCAATGCATGATGCGAGTTTCTTTTTTGTTTTTTTAATCCAGCCAATTGGTTTTTAACATTAAAGAAATTATTTTTTGAATAATAAAATCATTTTAAAAAAATAAATTTATTATCCTTTAAAAAATAACTATTTTTATTTTATAATAATTTTAATTTTTCTCTGACAATTATCACATTATAAATATGTAATATAAATATGTACCATTCAATAAACTTCATATCATTTTTAGTTATTTACATCTAAATTTATTTTTTTATTAATCATTCAAACAAGTTTCAACTTCTTAAATGACTTTTTTATAAAAGTCAATCCAAACATAAATCACATTATATTACCTGACTTTTATCTAATCTGACATTTGCAAGAGTCATATTGAAAAAAAGTAACTTCTCCCACCGCTAATCCAAACACACCTTAGTGTCTTATATTGCCTTATCACAAGAGTAACCTTCCTAGTAATATTGTGCTTCGAAAACTTCACAATCTCCCACTTTCATTGATTCCCATCCGCTTCTGCTTGGTTGTCATGGTCGCCTGGAGAGGAGTAAAAGGGAGCAATCGGCAAGGATAAGGGAATAAATCATTTTCAATGATTTTTTAAAAAATGGAAAGGCATGAGGGAGAAATGCATAATATTTTTTAAAATAGTTTTATTTTGAGATTGTATTGGTTGGTTAGTAAACTGAACAGAAAATTATGAAATCCTGCACCCAAATAATCGGGGTAAATTAGGAAAGTTATATCATTTTTATATTTTTAATTTAAAATTAAAATATTTGGTCAGGATCTTTATTTTAAGAATAAAAAATTCAACTAAAATAATTTAAACAGAAATAATACAATGTGGGAATAAGTAAAAGAGTAAAATTAAAGATTAAAAAAATCTATAAGAATTGAAATTTAAATATTAATGGAAGCTGTTCGAAAATTTTTATAACTGGCGGTGAGTCAAAAAAGTTATATCATTTTCATATATTTTGAATTTAAACTTTAAAATATCTATTATTTGGGAGTTAAAAACACATACAAAGAATATAATGGAAGTAATGTGCAGAAAATTCCAGCTTTTACAAAAGTGAGAAAATAACACAAATCACATACTACCTCCGGTCCTAATCATGCGTAGTCACAAAAATAGGGGAGGTGCGCTTATAATTACGGATTTTAAAAAATGAAAAAATAAAACTCATTTACCCGTATGATTGAATGACTGAAATCAAGTGGCAGTTTCTTGTGAGTCTTATTTTTCACTCTACTTTCAATAGATAGGTTAATATAATTTTTAGTCTCTTAAATTTGTCATGATTTTGGTTTTAATCCCTCGGATTTCAAATTACTCCTCTGGTTTTAAATATAAGACCTATTTTGTAGTGTATTTTGTAGTGTAATTTACACAACAAAATAACTCTTATATTTAGGACTGAAGGAGTCTTTCAAATGGTAAAATGATCTAACTTTTTGTTAGATTAGAGGGCTAATATTCTAAATAAAAAGAAATTTGAGGAACTAAAAGCTATTGTTTAAAACTTGAAGGACTACGATCAAAATAAGGGTCAACTTAAAGGACTAAACCTAATATTAATCCTTAATAGATACTCATCTGGTCCTATATAGGGTAGAGAGAGAATGCATTTTTTAGTTTTATTTATAGGATACTGAGAAAAATTTTCTGCATGAATATACAATTTTACCCCTCATTTATTATTGCATTAACTTTGTTTATATGAGGTATAATATATATTAAATAGAGATGACGTTAAAAAGTTATTAAATTTTAAATGTAAGTTAATGAAATTTAAGTTTTTTTTTGCCTGCATAAAATATACTAAAAATGTTTTATAAATAGATCAGAGGACTAATAGATAAATAATAGACTCTCGGAGGTTTGGTTGGGGAAAAGCAAAAACAGCTAAGCATTAGCGAAAAATGCATTTAATATGAGGAATGCCGCGCGCAAGGGTTTACACTTCGCTCTCTAGCCTTCGAAACGAACGGAATCCATGTCGCGTTCTCTCCGCAAAGCTACCGGCGTCAGCGCAATCTCTCCTTTAACATTTCAACATCTGATTTGTGTTCAAACCCAGTGGTTTTCATCGAGGTATGCTTATTCAACCTCTGCCAATGGGCATTCTTTCACCGTCTCATATCTCATTGACACCTGTGGCTTATCACCCAAACAAGCTGCTTCAGCTTCTAAGTGTGTCAGCTTCGAAACGCGGGATAAACCTGATTTGGTTATCAATTTCCTTAAAAGTCATGGATTCTCTCAGCCCCAGATTATTCGCTTCATTACTGACACCCCATCGTCTCTCCGATATGATCCTGAGAAAACCTTTCTGCCCAAAATTGAATTTTTTAAATCCAGAGGCTTTTCGAGCTTGGATATCCCTAAGCTCATATGTAGTTATCCTAGAATCATGTCAAGAAGCTTAAGGAAGCAGCTCATTCCTTCCTTTAACTTCTTTCGAGATGTGTTTCAATCTGACGACAAGCTCATTAAAACTCTTCGAATTTACTCGGGCATTCTTGTTGATGCCAACACAATTGCCCGGCCTAATATGGAGCTATTGCGAGAAGCAGGAGTTCCTGAATCAAATGTCATCAAATTTTTGCAATATAATCCTAGGACATTAACTGCAAGTCCTAATGTGCTTAAGGACATTGTGGAAGAAGTGAATAATATTGGGATCAATCCTTTGAAGTATCAATTTCTTATGGCTGTTCATGTGTTCTTCTGTCTAAGCAAATCCTCATTGGCAAAGAGAGCTGATGTTTATAAAAAGTGGGGTTGGTCTGACCATGACATTCTTGTGGCATTTAGAAAGTTTCCTCTCTGTATGGTAGCAGCAGAGGATAAGATCGATGCAATAATGGAGTTTCTTGTCCATAAATTGGGCTTTGAGTCTTCTACTGTTAGCAAATATCCTACAGTTTTTACAATGAGTTTCAGAAGGCGAATAGTTCCGAGAGGTGCTGTCATTCAAGCTCTGTTGTCAAGGGGTCTAATGAAAAAGAAAACATTGTTAACAAAATTTGTATATAGTGAAAGTTATTTTTTGAGGAAGTTTGTCCTTTGTCATGGGCAGGAAGCTACTGAATTATTAGAGTTGTATCAGTCTAAACTGCATCTTGCAAGGCAAATGAAGAATGGAAAGGTTTGAAGGTAAGAATATGGACTAAGATGTAGCAATTGTGTACCTGTTTTCTCTTCATTTGTATTGGTACGACACATTATTAATGTTTATGTGGTTTGCTTTAATTTAGGTTGGGAATGACATATCTAGCATGCAAAGAGCTTCATATTACACTAAAATCTCTCCATTTGAATTTAGCCCCAAATTTTAAAGCTTATCTGTAACACCATGCAGAGGGTTAGCATTGTTTATGTTTCCTTAGAGAAGGCATTTTGGAGTAAGAATCATGTATAGAGACATTGTTTTACCTGTCATTGGATTATTGAACCCTTCATCAATAGGCGTTCGTGGGCCATATTTTCCATTTGACCTTCTTCATCACTAGTGCTGCGTTAAAAACATTCTTTTCCAAATCAGAATTCTGGTTTATGATTACTAAACTATGTAACGAGGTTTTAAAATCCTCTTGCTTTGTTGGTTGGTTAATGTTTTGAAACTGCTAATTCCTCCAATTATAGGTTACTGATCCACTTGATTGTGTATGTTCATTTTTTCTGTTAACTCATAAACTAACCTCATTTGACCTTGGGAGAAAGGAATGAAGTAACGAAAATAATCCAACAGTTCATCTGATAATATTTAGTTATTTTTTACCATTATTTTTGCTCCTGAAACTGCCTTTATTCATATGGGTTTTGTTTGGTTAGATGACATACCTTATTATTCTCAATATTGATGGATTTTATTTTACTCGATTCAATTTGATTTGACTAGGTTTGAATATACTACTTGATTCACCCTGTCTGCTCTGGTTGAGAATGTATTTTTTCTTAATAAACATAAAGGTAAAGTTGTGATATTCATATTATTTTGGTATAAATGGCTTTGGCCATTCATATTTCAATTTTGTAATTTTCTTTCAAATGGAATATGTTTAATTTATTAGCTAGAAAATTCAGGGCGCATCTGTTTCCGCATTGACAACTAAAATTGTACTTTTAGCGTTGATTTGAGCATTGTCTTTCACACTTATTGGTGCTTGCTAAGTTCTTGATTCAACACTTTATGATTCAACTTAATTGGATTGATATTTGTGTGTTTCCCACCCAATTTAACAAATAAGTCATAAGCATAACTTTTATATTTTATATTAATATATTTTATCCATACTGACACCAAATTATACATTTTAAGCTATTGTTGTTTATGCCTTCCTGAGCATGACAATCTGAACATCTTATAGAATTCCATTAGGCCCTTTGAAATCGAAACATTTCAATTTTTGGACAGCCTGTCTCTTTCCTAATCAGATCAGCATAGAGAACTGGATTTGGGGCATTATTTTGGGAGAAATGTACGATGTATGTTTCTTTTCTTATTATTATAACATCTCTTCTTCTTTTTGGTGTAAAAAAGGTTTAGGTGAGTTGAGTCTGAAGGCTAACTTAGGCCAGGGAAGCATCTCTTCTTCTTTCCATTTTTTTAAATTTGCTATGGCTATACCAAGAATTAAGTTCAAGACCCCAACAGAGTCACAGAGGAGCTCCATTGTTCCAGAAAGGGGGAGTACTTTCCCAATTCAAAAACATTCCGAAGACAATGAGGCTGTGGTAAACATTGTTAAGGTAAGTGCAAATTCCATCCTCCTAATCATGTAGCCGATGTTTGCATCACATAGGAATCGCTCCCATGTTACGGAGCTGATATGTTGTGCATGCCATTGTACCAAAGGGTAATTATCAGAGGGCTAGTGGAAGAAGGACATATACCTCTACAAATCATGCTTCAGAGTAATCGACATCTTGTAGAGGTTTTTGAGTTAGGATTCGAGCTGAGTTGGGTTTTGCAGAGCTTTCGGTCGAAAAAGCTTGCATAGGATGGCAAGCCGACATCTATCAAACTAGTTGCAGAGCGTGCTGTGTGTTTCAGTTTTTGCCGTCTTGGACCATTTACCATCGCATCTATTTTTTTTCCCTCTTCTATTTGGCCCTTTTACGTTGTTTTCTTCTCAAGCTATTTATCGTTGTCCTATGTCCCATACTAATAAAGGATAGAAGCCAGTTTTTGGATGTCCCGTGGGACAAAACATGGACGACTTTGGAAGGCTTGTCCTACAGTTTGACGTGACAACGAAATAAATCAATCAATTAATGCATAAAGTGAAAGCAAAGATATATATGGATGTGGAGATGAGTTGGTAGTGCTTAAACAAGAACAATTTCAAATTATAAAGGAGAAGAGCATGCATATAATCAACAAAATTCAAATAGGTAATAAATATTAGGTGCCTTATAACCTCATCAAAACCTAATTTATCCATGACATTAAGTTCAAGCCATTTCAATTTTTGGTCTAAGAAGTTGGTTATGTACTTGTTATCTTTTTGCCTCATCTTTTCAAAAATGCTACTGAATTTAATAACATTATTCCACATCATGTAAGTTGAATCCCACAGACAATTCATGTTTAATAGACTCTTTGTATCAATTTTCATTCTTCTGCGGGCTCTTTCAATTTACTAGAGGGAAGTAAGGAGCTAGGAAGTAAACAATATCTTGGCATGTCTTGTGAACCATCTTGTCCTTTATCTTGTCCTAATTTACTCTCGAAGCAATCTCAACATGATTAAGCCCAATACTAATGTATCATTTTGATTTTGGAGGATCAGCGAGCTAACTGTCAGTTGTTTTCTTTTTCTTTTGGTTTTTGTCAAGCTTACTGCTTGCCTTGGTATCTCAAAACAAAAAAGAAATCATTTTATCTCTATAATGAATAATTGAATTTGTGCAAAAGAAAAAAGAAAAAAAAGAGCATTAATTAAAAATATTTTAGTTAAAAAATGCATTTAATACTGGCCGCAAGGATTTCACTCTCTACCTCGCTCTTGCTTCAGCCTTCGAAACGAATGAAATCCATGTCTCATTCCCTTCGCAACGCTGGAAAAGTAGTTTATTAAAAAAAGTAGCTTATAGAGAAGTGAATTGGATAAAAGCTAAATTGAATAAGCTGAATTGTGTTTGGATTAGAGTTCAGAAAAACTAGATTGCAAAAGTGAGATTGGTAAAAGATTGTTTGGATTATGATTGAGTAAAAGTAAGTTTGGTTGTAAAATGATCAAAATAGATACGAGTTTTAATAAATAATGAAATATGATTAAAAAAATAATTTCACATAATACAATGAAATTAAAATAATTTAATATGAAGAAGTTATAAAAAATATTTTAAATATAAAGTGAAACATGAAAAAATAAAAGTATATTTTTAGGAGCATATTTAAAAATAAAAATATACTTCTAACTTATTCATTACTTTCAACTAATTTTAACTGATTTTTTATTATCTACAAATTAGTTATTTGAGGCTTATAATAAGAACCAAAAGAGGTAATAAATTTCTTAACTTTTTCTCTCTCCATATTTCAAAAGCTATAAGCCATAAGCTATAAGTCATAAGCTGTTAATTTTAGTTTATAGCTTATTGTAGCTTTTCAGACAAAAGCCCGATTGCAAAAAAGCTGATCCAAACAGACCTAATTGTATCAATTGAGCTTATAGAGCTTATAAGCCACTTATAAGCTCAAAATAAATGATGCCAAACAGGCACATCATATCTGTGTTCAAACCCAGTGGTTTTCATCGACGTATGCTTATTCAACGTTGTTCCACGGGTATTCATTCATCGTCTCTTATGTGTGTGTTTGAGAGAGATTTATGGGCAAGAAGGAGTTTATTTTGTAGCAAAAATCCGATTTAAAAGGTAAGTCTGTTTGGGAGAGCTTATACAAGATCACACTTGGGAGCTAAAAATGGGGCCAAACACGCAATTCACTTTAAGGGGTGTTTGGATACTTTGAAAAGTACTTTTCTGAAGTATTTTTTCGCAAATTGAGATAAACTCCTCCATGTATTTATTTCGTAAACCGTAAAATCATTTTTGAAACCATAATTTGGTTTTCATCCAAACAATCCTTTAAACTAGGAGAGGTAGCTTTTTCAAGTGGCAATCAGGCATAAGACTGTTGGAAATTATCAGAATAATAATTTTCTTTTATTTCTCCTATTATTCTCTCATTATTTAATAAAATTCATGAGCTTTTTTGGTAATTTTCAACCTAAACTTGTTTTTATTCAATTGTAATCTAAATAACTTTTTACCCAATTTAACTTTTACAAATTAATTTTTATAAAATCCAATCCAAACACAATTTATGTTACCAAATTTAACTTTTACTTAATCTAACTTTTTCAAAAGTCAAATTGTAAATAAATTTTTTTTTTCTACCGCTAATCCAAATGGAACCAGGCCTAATTGATACATGTGGTTTCTCACCCAAAGAAGCTGCTTCAACTTCTAACTGCGTTAGCTTTGAGACATTAGATAAACCGGATTTGGCTATCAAGTTCCTCAAAAATGATGGATTCTCGCAGTCCCATATTCTTCGTTTCTTTAGGCATTGCCCATAATTTCTACGATCTGATCCTCAAAAAGCCTTTCTGCCGGAGATTTGAGTTTTTCAAGTCCATTAGTGTTTCGACCTCACGCATCCCAAGGCTCCTATGTTCATGTCCCAGCATCATGAAAGGAAGCCTAAGTAAGCAGCGCATCCCTTCCTTTAATCGCTTACGAGATATTGTTCAATCTGATGATAAGCTCATTAAAGCTCTTCAATGTTGCTCGGGCATCCTTCTTGATGCCAACACCTTTGCTGTGCCGAATATGAAGCTATTGCGAGAAGTAGGAGTTGCTGAATCAAAATGTCATCAAATTATTGTGTGTGTATCCTAGGACATGGACAAAAAGTCCTAATCCATTTAAGGACATTGCCTAAGAAGCGAAGGAATTGCATTTGATCCTTTAAAAGTCCAATTATTATGGCTGTTCATGTTTGCTCAACCTTTTAAAAAAAAAAAAAATCCACAGGGACTCTAAGGGCTGGTCCTTATAAGTAGTGGGGTTGTCCTCAGAATGACATTTTTGTGGCATTTAGAAAGAAGACATTACTCTGTTTGGTATCATGTTTGGTATCATTTATAAATATATTTTATATAAATTGAAACAAAATTTTTTTTATATACTTATCTCGTATTCTGTAAATTACGATTGAAAAACTGTTTATAAAATATTCTAAATAAATACAAATAAATTATCTGAAATAGACTTTCTGAAAAGACATATCTTTTTGCATGAGCAGGTGAATTATTGGAGTTGTATTGGTCTAAACGGGGGCTTGCAAGGTAAATGAAGAACGAAAAGGTTTTGTGGTATGATTTTAGACCAAAGATGGGGCAAATTTGTATTAGAAAAAAAAAAAAAAGATGGGCCAATTGCTGAACTATCTTCTCACTACATTATTAACCTTTATGTTGTTTGCTCTTGTTTGGCTTGGACAGGACGTATCATTCAAAAGTAACGTTGCGCTATGCGTGAAAATTGTTCTGCCTAAATGGATCTTGATAAAGTTGTATAAAAGTTTATAAATAAATGTTGTGTGTAGCTATAAAATATAGGACATTTATTGAAGGATTAGATGACAAACATGCACCTTTTTTGTGTCATGTGTAATAATAGACGCCTCTTAAAACAATGGTTTATGCTTACTTTTGATGACTTATTTGAAAAAAATTTGTCCCTAAATATAACTCAATTGATGAGTTTTTTCAATTTTATCTATGTTGACTTTATAAATATAGAGGGAGATAAAGTAAATACTCCCTCCAATTCATAATACAAGGCGCCAGTTAACTTTTTTCACACATTAAGAAATAGAAGTTTGGTCATTACATGTATCTTCACGGGATAGGGATAAAGTTTTCATACTTTATCCATAGAAAATTATAAAATTACTTTTAATGTTACCTTTTATTATCTCTCATCCTTCTCATATATTTAATAGGGAATTAGGGATAGAAGTGAAAAAAAATTACATTAATTATTTGACTAACGTCTTATATTTTGGATTATAATTTTCTTCTAACCAATATCTTATACTCCTCCGGCCTTAATATAGGACCCAATTCTTGAGTTGGTTTTGGTTCTAAATATAAGGACCCATTCTCTCATATAACAAGTAGAAGAGGGAGAAGAGTATAAAAAAGATGATTTATAGTGTTTTAGGAAAAATGTGTCACTTTCTTATAATTAACTAATTTACCTAACTTCTTTAATTTAATCAAATTAGTTAAATGGATCTTATATTAAGGACCGGAGAGTATTATGGATAGGAAGAAGCAGTGAGAGCAAATATAAAACATAATTGTAATAGTCTTTGTTTAATAAGGAAAATGTGTCCGACAAAAGAAAGAGTGAATGTTAAAAAAAAATTAATTTAATGTATTCTTTTTAGTTTGCGTGCTTCTTATACAAATAAATAGAAAGGGTGATTAATCTTTCAAATTTTAACTCAATTATAAATAATTCAGTTAATTTGGCATGACTTAATTCCCACTCGCCCTCCCTCTCCATGTATATTCCTTTTACACCCTAATAATTCTCCGGCCTCCACCACTTTCCCCTTCTCTGTTTCTTCGTTCTTGCTCGCTATTTTTGCAGAGCAATGGTAAAGCAGAGCAAGCAACTCACACCATAGTCTTAAAGGGGTAGTACAGCTCCATTGCCCATTTAGTTTCCGATGAAATCACAGCGTTACTTTCAGTATCTTGGCCACCATATATTCCAAGTATAAACCGGGAGGACCGGAGTGGGTGATTAGGATCTTATTTTTAGCTCATTTGGATGCCACGTGGGCACCACCTTTTGCCATATAAGATGATTTATGTATGGAAAGGATTGATTTATTAAATGACAAAATAGATCGCTGGTCAAAAAAAAAAAAGACAACAGATCAGGGACTGAGTTTCAATTTCAGGAACTGAATTACACCGAGTTGTTGTGGCTGAGAGACTGACCATGATTGAGTTAAAACTTGAAGACAAAAAGATTAATTTTCGTTCAGTGTGGTAGTTCTTGGACCCCTGCCAACGCGTTTTCTTTGCTGAGCATTGGAATCTGATGGAATCCATGTCTCGTTTTCTGAGCAGAGCGATCGGTTTTCGGAAGCACATTATCAACGCAACCTCTCCTTCAAGATTTCAACATCTGGTTTGTGGTCAAATCCAGTGGCTTTCTGTGGGGTACGCAAATTCAACCGCCTCAAATGGCCATTCTTTCACTGTTTCATATCTGGTTGACGTATGTGGCTTCTCAGCTAAACAAGCTGCTTCCGCTTCTGAGCGCGTCAGCTTCGAAACGCGAGATAAGCCAGATTTAGTTATCAATTTCCTGCAAAAACATGGACTTTCTCAATCCCAGATTGCTCGTTTCATTAGACATGATCCATTGATTCTTCGATGTGACCCTGACAAAACCCTTCTGCCCAAGATTGAGTTTTTAAAATCCATGGGTGTTTCGAGCTCAAGCATCCCTAAGCTCTTGTGCAGTTCTCCTGCCATCATGCGGAGAAGCCTAAGCAATCAGCTCATTCCTTCCTTTGATTTCTTCCGGGGTTTGTTTCAATCTGATGAGAAGCTCACTCAAGCTCTTACATATTGCTCGGGCATCCTTCTTTATCTTAACACTCATGTCGTGCCCTATATGAAGCTATTGCGAGAAGCAGGAGTTTCTGAATCAAATGTCATGAAATTGTTGCAATTTTTCCCTAGGGCACTAACTACTAATACTGCTCTGGTTTAAGGAAGTTGTGGAAGAAGTGAAGGAACTTGGGTTTAATCCTTTGAAGATTCAATTTGTTATGGCTGTTCGGGTATACTTATCCTTAAGCACATCCACACGGGCAAACAAGTTTGATGTTTATAAGAAGTGGGTTGGTCTGACCATGACATTCTCGCGGCATTTAGGAAGTACCCCTTTTGTATGACCGTGGCAGACGATAAGATTGATGCAGTAATGGAGTTTCTTGTCCACAAATTGGGCTGTGAGCCTTCCACCATTAACAAAAATCCTTCTGTTTTGGCATTGAGTTTGAAACGGCGAATTATTCCCAGAGGTGCTGTCATTCAAGCTCTGTTGTCAAAGGGTCTGATAGAAAGAAAAGCATTGGTTGCAGCATTTA